GGCCCAGGCTGCTTGCAGGGGGGCAGGGGGGCAGGGGCGCCTCCCCTCTGAGTTGGTGGCTGGGTTCTGCTGAGTAGGGGGAGGGAGGAGGAGGGGTGGAGTCAGGCTGCAGAGGCAGGAACGTGATGCTCCACCCACGTTTCCTTGCAGGAATGTTCTGGATACTGGGACGCCTCAGCCTGGGGAGTGGGTGAGAGGGGATTCTTCTCCCACTGTGCACACGGGGATAGCCACACGGACCACAGCGTGGTCGTCGTCGCGGCGACCCCCTGGGCTGCCGTCATTTAAACCCCACTCTTGAGTCTGGGCTCTGAAGCTCCAGCCTAGGGGATACAAAGAGCCAGGATCCTGCACCACATGAGCTCAGCAGGGCCCCTTCCCCTCCCGCCTCCCATCCTGGCCTCGCTCCACCCCTAGTCCGCCCTGCAAGAGCCACTGTGATCGGAGTCCTTCAGGAGGTACGGGGGAGTGACCTGAGCACAGGCACCCCCTCCCCAAACAAATGCTTCCGGCACACCCCAGACCCCCCCACCCCTGCAGCCCCGCTCCTCCCCTCTCAATGAAGTCCCACGTCTGCACCCCTCCTCCAAGAAGCCTTCCATGATTCCCCTCAGTTGATGGGGACCCCCCTCTCCTGTGACCCCAGTCTCCTTCTGCAGTGAGCTGGGTACACCCTAAACTCACGACATCCCCTCAAAGCCAGCACGGGGCCCTGCTCCCAGGAAATGCTCAGCTAGGCTGGTGGGAAAACGCTCCGGCACAGCTGAGCTATGACTGTGGCACTCAGGATCTGAGGTGTGCACCAACAACCTGTTGACAATGTGATTTGTTAAACTCAGCCCTGGGCTGCTGGTAGCACTGAGGAGCCTCCCGCCTCTGCAGATGGTGAAAGAATCAGCGCTTTCCCCAAATGCCCACCATTCTGCGAGGGAGCCAGCAGGCTGGACACGACGTCTGGGAGGCCCTCCTGCTTCACCCGTGTACGCCGCCCTGGCTCGCCAACACCGTGCGCCACCTCGCTGCACCTGCACAGCCACGCGGAGCTGCAGCCCACGCGCCCTCCCATTTTTCAGGTGAGGAAGCCGAGGCCCAGAGAAACGCAGTTTGGTTGCATCGGAATGCAGCTCCATCGGACCCCAGGGGCACATGTGGAAGCAGGTCCCATCTGTGCACACGCGGCTGCGCCCCGTGCACACGCAGCATGCACACTTGGCCAGGCGCATGCAGGCTCACAGGCAGACACAACGCCGGCTGCCACTCCGTGGGGTCTCAGACGTGGTCACGTTTTGGGGAAAACTCTAGTGAGAGAGCAGTGCCGGGAAACCAGCCCTCCAAATTCAGGCGGGGAGCGATCGGGCACCTGCTCAGTGACCCTGCCTGGGAGCAGAAGCCAATTCCTGACAGCTGTGCCCTGGCCCTCGGGTCAGAAGCCAACGACCTCTGGCAGGGGTGGGGAGGTGGGGGCAAAGGCACCCAGCAGAGACCCCGGGCTGCAGGAAACGCCAAGGCGGAGAAGCACACAGTGGGCACGGGAGCGCCCCTTCTGGTCTCCGGCCCCAGGGAGCGCCCCTTGCGGGCCCTAGTCCAGCGCCCAGTGCTCCCAGAGCTGAAAGTTCTGAGGACTGCCCTGGGAGTCTGTCTGTAACTCACCCCACCCCCGCCCACCCCCAGCCTGCTGTGCTCACATTCCATTTCCACCCGGGGCCCAAGAAGAAGAGCTTGGAGAGACTCGGGGAGGTACAAACCTGACCAACTTGTGTGCAAGGGGACTTCAGAGACTGCGATTACAAGTTAGATTTATTTTGGTGCAGAACATTGGAAATCCACGGGCTGTTTTTTCTACAACACGCATTTTCCACCAACTTTGGGAAGACCCCCGGAGAGCAGCAAAGGGAGAGAGCGCTCTACCACTAACCCTCTTCTGGGGGAGCACAGAGCCCAGGCACAGGCACCCTGCCGATGTCCACGGGAGGACTGAGATCCCCCGCCCCAGGGTGCGAGGTCCCTGTTGCCTGGCGACCACAAACCCAGTGGAGAGCTGGACCCGCAGCCAGCCACAGCCCAGCCTGGGTCTCCCAGAGTGCGACCTGGCTCACTTCCTCCTGGGGACCCTGGGCAAGCATCTCATGGTTTTCCTTGCTGGCTTTGAGAGAGGACCCAGCAGAGACGGGTGATGGTAAAACGCTCCCCAGGACCGACAGCTGTGAGCTCGGGACTCATCCACGCACACGGACGGACGCACACATGAACCTACAGACCCGCGCTGGAGGGATTACAGGCGGCCGGATGGGACAAGCCCGCCCCTCAGAGCAGGCCTCCTCTCCCAGCCCTCCCAGCCCCGGTCCTACCTTCTTTCCTTGGGTGCTGAGAAACAGAGCACCCTGCCCCCACTCCTGAGTCTGAAATTCCACCAGGAGAATCTGAGCCATAGAATTTTGAAGTTGGAATGAACCTGCAAGCTCCAGTCCAACCCCCACCCGGCAGAGGAATCCTGTCCACAGACACCCTGACAGATGACCACTGGCCGCCTCTCCCAGGCTTCTGCGGGGCTGGGGACGCGGCCTTGGTCTGCCAGGAGATTCACCTCTCCTGGGTCAGTCTCCTACAGAGGGCACCCAAGCCTGGGTGGGGTAACGAGAAAAGCATTGGTCAGCCCAGGCCAGGTCCACTCCTGCCAGAGCAGGGGTGAAGAACCAGCAAGGAGGAGCTGGCCAAGAGGCTGCAGAGGGCACCAGGACCCACAGGAAGGGATCTAGGAGGGGCGGGTGGCAGGTAGGTGCCTGCCCGCTGCACAAGTTGGCCTGGGGTCCCTTCCTGGACACGGCTGGGGCTGGAGTAGCTACACACACACACACAGCTGTCTCAGCTCTGCCAGGGCCTCAGCGGAACCATCTTGGCCTCCACTCCCAACAAGAACTCTCCCCAGCCTAACTCTCCAAAGGCAGGTGGCTCAGCAAACTACCTGGAGCAGGCCGGGGAGAGCTCAGGAGGGTGGGCCTGACAGCTGGGCTCCTCAAGCCCCCCCCCTCCAGGCGGGCCGACACCCCTGCAAGGCAGGGAGAGGCGCTCCCCTGGCTGCAGCCCGCACATCTGCCCAGGAGGCAAGAGGCACGCTGGAGCCGCACCTGATCCCAGGAGCCCTTCGGCAGCCGCCTGCCCCGGAGGCCCCGCGGCTGGCAGCCCGCGGTGAAACATGAGGACTGCGCAGTCCCCCAGGGATGCTGAGGGCAGTCCCTGGGCACGGCGGCCAGGGGCAGGCCGGGTCACAGGGCGCAGGGCGCTTCTCTCCAAGGCTTTCCTGCCTGATGGCTGCAGAGGGGGCGAGCTGGGTGGCTCTGGGGCCGCAGCCCTTCCTCCTGCCTGGCGAAGGCCAGAGCTGCCCAGCTGGGTGCAAGACGCCATCTTGGGTCAAGGTGCAGCCACAGGGGGCACCTTCGAGGGCCCCCCCCCACGAAAGCCAGCGCCCCCTCCATACACACACACACACACACACAGCCCGAGGGCGCCAACGCCGACTTCGCGGGCCTCGCGGCAGAGGGGGGCGCATAGAGGGGATGGAGCGCACGGGGAGCGAGGAGCGGGTGCGCCCACGAAGGAAGGCTCCGGGAGAGCGAGACGCAGCTCGGCAGCCCGAGGGCCGCGGGCCCCAGCGGCCAGGGGCTGGGGGAGGCCGGGGGCGGGCCCTGGACCCGCGCCAGCTCGGTCCGCGCCAAAGGCGAGGGAGGGCGAGGAGAGCTGGGGTGAGGGCGGGACACGGAGCGCGGGGTCCCCCGGGGCGTGTGGACGCGGGGCCGAAGCCCCCGGTCTGCAGCCTCGGCGAGGCCGCGTCCTTCACTGTGCAGACGCGAAGCTCTCAAGGACACGTCTGCACCGGCCCGGCGGGGTGCGTGTGCGTGAGTGTGTCCGCGTGCGTGCGAGTGTGTGCGGGGAGGCGGGCTGCTGCAGGGGGCGACCCTAGGCGTGCCCCCCCCCCCGCGCGCCGCTCCCACCCCCGCGTTTTCCGGCCCCGGCGGCCCGGGATCCCCGCCCGCCCCCGCCCCGCCCCCACACTGCGGCGTCGCCACCACCGCCGCCCCGGCTCCCACGGCCCGCAGCGGGGGCAGGGAGGAGCCAGGCACGACGCCCCCCCCATCTCCCAAACGCCGCCGCCGCCGTCGCGGGCCGTCAGTCTCTCCGCGGGAAGGTGCGCCCCCAAAGTGGGCGCTCTCCTCACCCCCGCCGCCCCTCCCAGCTCCGCGGGCGCCCCGCACCCCCAGCCACAGGTGGCCGGAGGAGGATCGCGGCGCTGCGCTCCGCGGCCCGGCCCCCCGGTCACCCCGCGGCCCGCCCCCGGAGGCCTCCCGGGTCCCCCGCCCAGCCGGGCCGAGGAGGCCCGGGAGCCGGGGGGAGGGGCGGGGGGCCGGGTCGTGCCAGGCTGCCATTTTCTGCCGCCGCCGCGGAGCCTGCGCGGGGCCCGGCCCCCGCCCCCTCCCCCGCTCCCCGCGGGCCGCGGCGGGGGCCGATTATTCCGGGTCGGGGTCCGCGCCCTCCAGCGCGCCCCGGCCGCAGGCCCCAGGCAGGGCCCCGGGGCGGGGGCAGAGCCCGGAAGGCGGGGGCGGCCAGGCCGGGGCCCCTGCGGCAGCGCGGAGCCGGGCACGGCCGGCCGAGGCAGGCGGTGGAGGGGGCCCCCCGCGGCATTGTATGGACTTGAACTTGAGCCCGGAGCCGGGCGGGGGCGGGGAGGGGGGTCCGCGCCGGGAGCGGGCAGGACAGGAGGGGGCGCCTGCAGAGCCCGCGGGGACATAAACAAACCCTCAAATCCCCCGCGCCGCCCCGGCCAGCCGGGGCCGGCCGTCCCCTCCCGCAGCCCCGGCCCCGCGGGCGCCCGGCGCCGAGTTGCGGGGGTCCCGGGAGCGTGCCCCGAGCTGGGCACTGCCCGCCGCGGCGCCCCCCGCCCGGCCTCCCGCTCCGCGCCCGCCTCCGGGCCGGCCTCCCGGGCCGCCAGCGGCGGCGCTCATTACCGTGTGGCCGGTCGGGTCGGGCCGGCCCGGCTGCGCGCCCTGGTGCCGCGGCGCCGCGTCCCGGCTCGTCCTCTGCTCTCGCCGCCGCCGCCGCCGCCCGCGCGCCCTCCCTCCCGCCCGGCCCGCCTGCCTGCCTGCCTCGCTCGCTCGCTCGCTCCCTCCCTCCGCTCGCTGTCGCGCTCCCTCTCTCCGCCTCCTCCGCCGGGTCCCCCCCTCCCACCCCTTCTCTCCGCCTTCCTCCTTCCCTCCCTCCGGCCGCCCGCGGGCCCAGGCCTCCGCCCGCCGCTCGCCCCCCGCGGCCGCGCTGGCCCCGGCCCCGGCGCTGCGGAGCCGGCCCGGGAGGCAGCGCCGGCTGGGGGGCCCCGGGGCGGCCCGCGGCGGGAGCGGCCTGGGCGCGCGGCCGGTCCTAGCGCCCTCGGCCCGACTCTGCGGCCCCGCCGGGGTCCCCCGCACGCTGCGAGACGGAGGGCCGGACCCTGCAGCGCCCCGACCGTGCGCGGGGCCTCGGCACCCCCGCCTCGGCCGCGCTCCCGGCCACTCGGGGGGCCCCTGGAGTGGCGGCCGAGCCCGGGGTTGGGGGGCCTCGCTGCAGTCCTCCCCCACCACCCCCGCCGCCGCGGGCCGCCCCGCTACCTGGCGCTGCCTCTGCGCTGGGTCCCCGCATCCAGCACTGGCCGCAGGGACAGCGGCCCCTCCTCTCCCCCGGCCGGTGTCAAGTGCCTCCCCCCGCAGCCCGCGGAGCCCCCGGCGGCCTTCGCCCTGCAGTTCTCACGACCTCCACCAGAGCCCACTGCACTCTGCCTGCCTCAGCACTGGGGCTGGGGACAGCAGCGCCGGTCCAGCCCCGCCGCAACCCCCGGCCAGGTGCCGCCGCCGCCGCCGCCGAGTGGAGGCCCGGCGGCCCGGTAGGGCCACGGCAGCAGCGCCAGGACCCGCTGCCAGCCCGAGCCCCTCCCCGGGGATGAGCCACCCTGCAAGGGGTGAGCTCCCCGTACCTGGAGGTGTCCAAGTGGAGTTGGGTGTCCTCCGCTGGGCACTGGAAGACTGAACCGGTTTTGTGGAGTGGGAGGCTGAGCGAAATGACTCGGAAAGTCTCCTCCAGCTGTGAGATTCCCTGCGTCTCTGCATCCGCCCTCACCCCCTCACTGTGGGAGGGGGTTCTCTATTCCTCAGCCTGCTCGCCTGGCCCATCCTCCCCAGCAACCTGCCCCCACCTGCAGCCTCCATTCCACCCAGTCCCCCAGCAGTACGCCCCGTCCCCCACCCCAGACACCCCCTGTCCCGCGGCGGGCTCCGAGGCCCTCCCTGTGAGCAGCACCCACCACCGCCGCAGCCTTAGCCCTTGGAGGGTCCCAGGAAGCTGATTCCACCGCCCCTGGCTGTCCTGTCACCCAGAAGAAAAGGTGGGCCTTCCGGAAGGCCCTTGGACACTCCCAGGGCCTCCGTCCACCCTACCCTGACCCTCAGGCCCTGAGTTCACTCTCCCAGCAATCGTCCCGGGCTTCTCCAGTGTCATCCTCACTCCATGTCACCCACACTCCTGATGCGGGGCCCTGCCCTCCATGGCCTCCGCCTCGCCACTTGCAGAGCCTCGTGAAGACGGGGACACTGCATGTCACCCGTGCAACCCGGCGCCTGGATACAGGGACACTGGAAGGGGCGTGCGAGCTGCAGGCCCCTAGCTCTGTGCCCGCTACTTGTGGGCGGGCACCCACAAGCTCTCAGCCTGGAGGAATGACTGGCACTCCTGTCCCTCCATCCAGGGCTTATGGAACCCTGCCCCCAAATAGCAACCACGCACCAGGTGCCCCTGGTGGGCCCAGCACAGGACCCAGGACACAGCAGCTTCCCTTAGCCCTACCCAGTGAGGTGGCCTGTGGTGTCCCTACTTCACAAAGGAAGAGACAGGCGCGGCTGACGCAAGGCAGATGGGAAGTGGCAGGACGCGAAGCTGGGTGGCCGTGAGTCGGCAGCCACCTTTAAAGCATTCCAGGAGCTCTTAACCAGCCCACCGCTCAGGGCCAAGATGGGCCTGTGTGGGCTTCCATTCAGTAGTGCTCTTTCTGGCGACATGAGTGGGAACCTGGGAAGTGTGTGACCCTGGGAGTCTGCATAGCCAGAGAGGCCCAAGGTGGCTGTGTGGGGAGCTCTCTGTCCATTGAGAAGCCACCTGTAGGCGTGGCCTGCAGAGGTGGTCCCAGCCCCTGGCCCTGAGGCCTTTGGTCTCACCCTGGCCTCTGGGTTACTTGGGTCTTTGTTACTTTAAGGAGAAAGATTGGTAGGAGCCGCTTAGGAAGGAAGAGGCCTGCTTTGGGTCACAGTTTGGGCGACTCGCTGTCCAGGATCCAGGCGATGGGTGGTGGCACGTGTGTGACAGGATTGCGTGATGAGCCGGGAAGCAGAGGGAGAGTGAGCGAGCTGGACTGAACTCCGCTTAACTTTGTCCAGCCGCCTTCTGCGGGCCAGCCCCAGATCACCTAAGGACCCTCCACTGGAGACGTAACTGTCTCAAGCCTCCATCCTCCAGCCCTGTTGCTGATGGTGATCCGTGAACCATTGATGTAGGCCTTTAGGTGTTTGAACATCTGCAGCAGGAAGCCCAATCCCATTCAAGCCACGGCAGACACCCACCCTCCCTCGCTCGTTCCTGCCCCACTTGGGACCACACCGGAATCCCAGTTGATCCTAAATAACCAGAAGCGATAGCAAACACCCCCAATCTCAGTGACTTAAAACCACACACAGCTGGGGCCTGTGTTGTGGCACAATGGGTGGTCGCTGCCTGCCATGCCAGGCATCCCATATGGGTGCTGGTTCAAGTCCCGGCTGCTCCACTTCCACTCCAGCTCCCTACTAATGCGCCTGGGAAAGCAGCGGAGGACAGCTTAAGTGCTTGGGCCCTGCACCCACATAGGTGACCCCAAAGAAGCTCCTGGCTCCTGGTTTCCACCTGGCCCAGCTCCAGCCGTTGTGACCATTTGGGGAGTGAACCAGTGGGTAGAAGATCTCTCCTTTCTGTCTCTCTCTCTCTCTCACTATAGCTCTGCCTTTCAAATAAATAAAATAAAAAATAAAATAATTTAAAAAAAACCCACAATTTCTGTGGAAAACCATATGGTAGATCCTTAAAAAATAAAAATAAAATTATGTGGCCAGGAATTCCACTTCTGGATATATATCCAAAAGAATTGACATCAGGAGCTCAAATAGATTTTTGCATAACCACACTCACACAGCAGAATTCACCCTGGGACGGAGGTGGAAGCAGCCTGAACGCCCATTAGTGGACGGAGGGATAAACAGTGTGTGACGGACGCATTGGAATGTTACCCAGCCTCAGACAGAAAGGAGCTGCTGGGCTAAGCCTCTACTGGCGGCACCTGCACCCCATGTCAGAGTGTTGGTCCGAGTCCTAGCCCTCTGCTTCTTGTCTAGCTTCTTGCTGATGTGCCTGGGAAGCAGTAGATGATGGCTCAAGAACTTGAGTCTCTGCAGCCCATGTGGGCTTTGCAGAAAGAGCCCTGCTCCTGGCTTTGACCTGGTCCAGCCCAGCCGTTGCAGTCATTGGAGAACGAACCAGCGGATGGAAGACCTCTCTTTCCCTGTCTATCTTCCTTCCTCCCTCTCTCCTCCCTCTCTCCCTCTCTCCCTTTCTCTATCTTTCTTCCTCTGAAATAAATACATACATAAACCTTTTTTAAAAGGTTCTGGGATGGGGTGGTAGTGGTGGATTTCCAACTCTATGATTGTACTTAATGCCGCCGAACTCTACACTTCAAAATGGTTAAAATAGTAAATTGTTTGTATATTTTACCACAATTTAAAAAAAAACATGGAGAAACCATGAATTAATTTACTGAATAATTACAAAATCCCCACACGGTCTCCTTTCCTGCCCGTGTCACGTGTCACTCGCAGGTCTCAGAGGTAGGGGCTCTGCTGGCTGAGTGTGCAGGGACCGGCCATCTGGAGGAGGCCACCGGGGGTGTCACGGTGGCAAGGCGCTGGCCCCAGTCATACAGCCCCATTCAACTTCAGGGAGCCAGGAAGTGAGTGGCACCGGGGCCTCCAAGTGTGGGGGACGTGGCATATTCAGCCCCCGTGACAACCGCAGGGTCCCTTAAGCCTCTCGCTGGCAACAGGTCCCACTACCATCTTCCCCGCCATGGACCCAGAGAAAGGCAGCATCCCTGCGCTCAGGTGGAGAGGGGCTGCTTAGGTCTGCCTTGGTCCCCAACAACCTGGTAGACTTTGCGTTCTTGTCGTTAGTCCCCTACTCGAGGCCTGCCACCTGCCTTACCCAGTAAGGGAGCCCTGCGCCCCCTCCCGTGGCTCCCAGACCAGGTAGGCAAGCCCACAGTGACGTGATGCCCCCCAGGCCACCCCCACCGGGAGAGCTACATCCTGGACCACTTTCAGTGTGGGGTCTTCACCCGAAACAAACGCTGACGGTCCTCTAGCTGCCGTCCAGGTGGGGTGGTTGTGTGTCAAGACCGCCGCCCGGCAAGGGAGCGATCGCAGCCTAAGGCAGTCAGCACAAAGGAATTCAGCCGCCAGAGTGCAGAGATCGGGAAGTCCAGGCTTGGCGATTCGGAAAAGGACTACACCAAAGGCTCAAATGCCGGCTCTAGAGCTTTTCTCTTCTGTCCCATCCGCTCCCCGCTACGCTGCCATCTTTCCCTCCTGCTTTAGGTGAACTTCACATGGCCTTGGGCGATGGCTCCCAGCTCAGAATTCCAGTGGAAGAAGATGTGTTTCCTTTCCTAGGAAGTCCCCTCTGCGGCCCCCAGGCGTGAAGCTCCAGGGCCTTTAACAACCTCCCCCCCAACGGGAAGCTCCAAGGTTCTGCTTTGTGTTTTTCCATCATCAGCCCCGGAGGAGTGGCCATTCCCTGCAGGAAAGTCCAGGATGACTTCAGTTGTCTGGCTTTGGGTACAGACCCTTCCTAACTGGAGCTCTGTGCCAGCGGGCGTCACATGCCCCCGCCCGCCCCCCGCCCCCAGGGGGCCCTGGGAAGAACAGACCCAGCCGGCACCCTGTGGAGTAGGGGCAGGGTTGCTCCCCAGTCAGAGGGTGCTGGGCGAACTGCGTGCACTCTGCCCGTGACCACCTGTGGACGCCCCGCATCCCTGTGCTTTGCCTCCCATTTCAAAGATGCTTCTAGTG